ACTAGGAACCATGAAAGCTCTGCAGTGTGAGATAACAAGTTTGCAAACGTGGCTTTCAAATACAGGCGACTTTCTCGCAGAAAACCTCATGCGTCAACTTTAGCTCTTTTGTTTTACGCGATTTCCTTCCTGTTCTCCCTGCTGCTGGAGCTACTTTTTGGTTTTGCATTGAAAGGAAGGCGTTGCTGTGAAAAGCCTGTTAAGCTTTAAGTTTTTCAGGGACAGCAGAATTCCAAGTCAGCAAACAAGTCAGCTCTCAAAACACCACTTTACTCAGGAAATACTAATAGCAGTGGACCAATAGCTGGCATATGTGTGCAAAATCTTAAGTGCGACTATGCTGCAGCATTCCAGTAGCATCAGGAGGAGCCACATGCTAATTCATGTGTCACCAGCTGTGTTTCCTTTCCATCAGTGCCAGTGTAGTTAATTAATTTTCGAATTCACACGTATGTAACCTTTCAGGTACCTTTCATTCATTCTCAGCTGTGCTTTCAATTATGGTTGACATGATTTAATTCTTAAGTGTTACATGATGGAAAAATACGTCTCTGTATTACAGTAATTTAATTCAATGAGCTTTAAATAATGAATGAAGGCATATTTCTAAAAGTGTGACTGAGGTTGCATACTTAGGAGCTTAGTGAAACAGGCAGAGTTTAACATATTAGGACAGGCACTTTTTTGGCCATAAAATTTGTTTTCCCCGGACTTCTGAAGAGCAAAGCTGTTAATGTATAAATAATGCTGTAGAATCACATAAATATTTAAGTTGGAATGGAGATCTATAGTCCAAACTGCACTTTCAAGCAGGACTCGCTTCAAAGCTGTATCAGGTTGCTCAGGGCACTGTCAGCTCCAGGGCACAGTCTCAAGTCTCCCAGGATAGAGATTCATTACTGCTCTGGGCTACATATTCCCTGCTTCAGTGCTCGCTCTCAGGGTGAAGCGTTTTTTACTCTGTCCACCTGGAGTCTCATGTGCTGCAGCTTGTGTGCATTGCCTCTCGCCCTTGTGCTGGGCAGCTCTGAAAAGGGCATGGCCCTGTCTTCACTGTAACCCACCTTGGGGTTTGGGTGATTGCATTAAGACACCCACGGGGCTCTCCTTCCAGGCTGAACAGAGGCCAGGCCTCTCTCAGCCTCTTCTTGGTGTCCATCCCCTGGGTTCCTTCAAGTTGGCGAATGCCTCTTACACAGGAGAGCTCAAACAAATCTGGAGCTTGGACACAGAGCTCCAGATGTGCTCTCACGAACCACAAATAATTTAAAATATATGGGGTCCCTGAGTAAGAAAACACAAAAATACCTGACAAAAAAAGATAAATGAGTGTTAAGCGTAGTGGCAAAAACTGAGTATAAACCACAAAGGTTTCAAGATGGTGAGGTCTGAGTTCTCATTTGGCAAAACATAACTACAGTGAATATTTACTTGCCACCTGTTTTAGCAGCGTGAACAAAAAGAGCTGTTATAAACAAACAAATAACACCCTGCTGCTTTTGCTGCTGTTATCCTGATGTTCTATTTTTAAATTAATCAAACAAAGCAATTGGGGAAAAGATCAAGTCGAACATGTAAATTGTAGTTTCTTTTTCTGTGCTGCTATTGTCACTGATCTGCCCAAGGCATGAGGTTATTGTTGGTAAAATTGGGCAAGTGTCAGAATGCCATTTGGCTGTTTCTGGAACGAAATGCAGGTTTTAAATGCAAGCTCACATGACCTGTTTCAAGGTTTCCTTAGTGTATCACTAGAGCTTGGAAGGGAGATAAAACTTACGGAGGAGAGCAATGTGAATTTAAGAGGGTGTAATGAAATTGTTGGTAACAGAGCGGTGGCAGGGGCAGGAATCATGGTCTATCCTCACTCCAGAACTTCCTACGCTGCCCTCCTGGCTCTTCTTGCTGCACCAGTGCAGCTCTGCTCTTAGCCATAGGAATGAAACCACCTCTCCAGGGCGGTTGTGTGGATAACAGCGAGTGACTTGCATTCAACCTACCTGCCCTCAGACCTAGTTTGACATCTTTGTCATTCTTCAGTTTAAGCAAGGCTTTAATTGTGTCACTATCATATAGGAAAACTCACCATACATATTTAGGAGCCCATCTGTTCTGCAAAACTGAACCCAGGTCAGACACCTACGGAACAGTTTAACTTCATCCAATGAACACAGAAGGTTGTAAAGTACTTGCAGGAAATGGGTGCAAGATAGGCTGTGCATTGGCCAAGCTGAGAGGCTTGAAGACCCTCAGCTTCCCACTGCTGACAGTGCATGCCCAGCCCTGGGTCACTCTCTTCCACTTAGATCAGGAATCTGCTGGAATTAACTGGAAAAGCTAGGAAAGACATCCAGCAGCTTTTCTTCAGTGTCTCTACAGTCATCTTTCATGATGTGCTGCTGAAATTACTTAATGTAGATTGGTGCTTGCCAGGTGGTGATTCCAGTTAACTGGAAAAGGACGTTGTATTAGCAGGTTCACCTGATTAATTCTATTTGAATAATTCATAGCATACGTGGAAAAAACCTCCATAGCCAGAATGCTAAGCTAACCAAGATGCTGTAGTTCCATGTCTGTGTCTGAAAATCTTGAAAGGGAGTAAAATGTGGCAAAGAAAATCCAAGAGATCTGAATGCCCAGCACCAGTTAGTTTTGCAGTATTTTCTGTGTAGAGTCAGCATATCAAGATTATACTATTACAAATTCCTGTAGAATTAGGAGTACACACATGCCAGTGTATGGTCCAAAATAAAGAGATCACTGCTTGGCACCTGCAACTTAGAATGTACTTTTCTAAATTTTCTAAAACAAATATTTCTTACACAATCATATCACGTGGAACCGCATATACCAGAAAGGCTTTGTAGTTCTGATCCTGCTACCTATGCAACAAACTCTGTTTTAGGACCTTATTTACTGCTTTGGACTAGGAGAATATACTGAATCTTCTTTTTATTTCTTTTTAATGTAATATACCATTCCAACAGTAATAAACAGATCATACCTCTTATTTTTCCTTGGATTTCAGTCTGAAGTTCATACTAGAACGAATGAGACACGTGGTCTTTGGAAATAAGGCAAGTTCAGCACTTCTTTGCAGAGTCTTTGGTTGTTGATTTTTAAGGACCAATTTCTAAAGTCTCAGCAATGTGTTAGCATTTAAATCATGGAGATCTTTCGTTGTGTAAATTTCACAGGCAGTCTTTCTTTCTTTCTTTCTTTCTTTCTTTCTTTCTTTCTTTCTTTCTTTCTTTCTTTCTTTCTTTCTTTCTTTCTTTTCTTTCTTTCTCTCTCTCTCTCTCTCTCTCTCTCTTTCTCTCTTTCTCTCTTTCTCTCTTTCTCTCTCTCTTACTCTCTTTCTCTCTCTCTTTCTCATAGGCTTTCTTTATTCAATGCCCATACTCAGCCAAGTGGCCTTTTTGGACTTAGAGTACTTCAAAAAGATAGAACCTTAAAAAGCCAGGCAGTAGCCTCCTAATATAACTTTATATCTCCTCAGTTGCGATTTTCAAAGTGATTAACTGTTCGGGGACAGCAGATGCAAAATAATATTCTTGATCATATGGATATAATGACAGCTGGAGAAAGTGCTGGTTTACAAGATCTCTTAAGAGTTTGGGGATGGGATAAAGGGGAATGTTGCAATCTCCCGTATGCAAAAGAAATCCCGCTGCATCTTCGATATTCAGGACTTTTGACAAAACCGAAGACTTGCTCAGCTGTCTTCCTTTGAGCCTGGTTTAGTGCCTGGGAATGAGCCTGGGCTCCACTTTCCCGGTGACAAGAGTGAGCTGCTGGCCTGGCTTGAGTTCCCCCATCGCAGCTCCAAGTCTCAACACGCTCCTCACTGCCGGGAGGGCAGAGCAAGGAGGAAGCAGAGACCCCCCCCTTGCCAGGACACAGACCTAAGAAAGGTCTTTTCTTCCCTAGAGCTTCCTCTGCACAACACAGAGGCACCCGGAGCAGCTCTGCGATCAACCCTCTGGTTTAACCAGCCTTGTTGCTTCCCGCTTTTCCTTCAGTAATAGCACAGATGCAATAAACTACTGACGTAGCAAGATGAAAAGCACACACTAATTTTCCTAAAAGAGACGAACCTTCTTTCTGAACCCCTCAACTAACTGCATTCCTAGGGGTCTCGCTGCCTGCCTAGGCTGCGGCACAATCCCTGTGCTCCCTGCTCCCTCCTGCCTCTGCTGCGAGCACGGGCTGCTCTCCCTGCCCTGCACCCTGCTGCTGCCCCTTCAACAGCAGAAGGGTCGCTCCTGTTTTTGGTGCGCTAGGAACTTCATCCTGCCCTACTTTATGTGTTGAATTTTCCCTTCTTTCTGCACCAGTGGTTGCTGTAGCTTATCATAGGCACCCTGCGCTCCTGCTACTTCAAAGCACTCTCGTTTTCTCTATTTGCCTTTCCTCCTCTTCCACAAGGCCGCGCGACGCACCGAACCTCCTACAGGCAGAAGGCGGCTGTGATTTTTAGCAATGGTGTTTGCAAGAGCTATTTAAAGCACCCTTCGGGAGACACATAAGAAGTAGGCTTGAGGGAAGTGGTAGTAATCCACCTGCTCCCTTCCTTCCAGCTAACCCTTTAATTCAGGGATGAAGTTAAAGTTCTCAGGAAGGTTGGAACTAACCCCCTGCCTGAGATGAGCTGAAGAAAAGCCGCCTCTCAGCAGCTTCCTCTGGGACTGAAGACTATGCAATGCCCAAAAAAATCCCCTCATTTCTTGGTGACTCGGCTCTCTCTCTCTGTTCTTGACCAGAAGCTGCTCAGTCGCCTTCCTTTGGTCTTGCGCTATCCATACAAGGGGAAGTGCTTTCAAACACGTACCTATTATGGCCAAAAGCCCTTACAATCAACCTCGCATTGTACTTTCAATTAAAATATTACCACAATGGATATATCTGTAAGGTTTCTAGAACTTCACACTCCCAAATGACTAAAATAATATTTCTGAATACCCAAGTTGGCCAAAATGACTGAACTCTGGAGGCAATGAAAATGATACTGGTGATTTTATTCAGCATGTGTCCGATACGCTTTTCCATTGCAATTCCACATTTTTTTAAATATTTTCCTTATAATGCTCTAAACTTTACTTTCAGATTTTTTGGAGTCCCTTAAAAAGTTTTTTAAATCATTCACCAGAAAACTTAAATTTAATGATTAAATAATAAGAGATTTATATACACCAGGGGGATTTCTCAGATACGGGGCTCTAAGTACATACAATGTCTATTGAGTAGAAAGAAAAACAGAATCCAGTCATGCAAATCATTTTACAAACCATTTCATTTGCTTTAAAAAGTTTTACTCTGTTACTGGCACATCATTTTAGAGATAAGCAGATAATTTTTTGTTTAAGGTCGCTTTGTCCCTTCCCATTTGTTTTGCCATTCTGCAGAACTGACAGGCCACATGCTACTGTAAAAGGTACTGGACGGTTCGATCACGGATCTGCTGCCACTGGACGCTCCAGGCTTTGCAGTGCGTGATCTCCCAAAAAAAAAAAAAATAATAATAACCTCCTAGCTTGCACTGGTGTGCTTCTCACCAGCACCCCACAATACCAGCACAGATGGCGTATTGCAGCCCGTTGGGTGATTCCACGCAGTAAATTTTCAACACCAAAACCTTTCACCATGGTAATTGTGTTCCATTTACGAATTAAAGGTCATATATAGAGCACAAATAAGATGTAAATTTAGTCACAGCAGACCACAGTTCCACATAGAGACAAATCTTCAAGTTATGTTGACCTGCTAGGAGACAAAGATAAACAGCACAGCAAACATGTACCTGCAATGCACTGCTTCCCTATTAAATATTAACGGCTTCATTTACATTTAAATGAACTGAGCAGGAATGGACAGACCTCCCAGTACTGCTGTTTGGTGCTGCTGTCATGGAAAGAAGCTGCAGACAATGTGGATCGTATGGGGGCTAATGACGCCGTCTCAACCGCCGCTCGGGTCACTTCGATGACCATCGGTCTTCAGTCTTGAAATATCATCCTGAACAGCTTTTTTTTTCCCCTTTTTTTTTTTTCCTTTATTTTTTCCCTTCTCTCTCTCTCTCTTCCTCTGTAAACGCATCTGTTCATAAATAACGCGGGTGTCCCCTTGACATTCACGGTACCTAACTGAAGCAGGAACGGAAAAGGATGGGTGGTGTGGAGCGCGCAGGAGATGTCACAGTCCTCGCGGCGGGCGCTGCGGCCGGGCGCCTCAGCCGTCGGACACGGGCGGCGTCACCCACCCGTACTTCTCGTGGGTCTTCACCAAGCTCTTAAACGTGGCCTCGGCCTCCTTGCGGCTGAAGGACTTTTTTGACTTGCCAGCTTTTCTGCAGATACGGCCCTGCACAGAAGGGGAAACCCGCATTAAACACATGGCGCCCGCGGGGCCTACCTGGAGCTCCCAGGGCAGCCCGCCAGGCCCACCGGATTCGCTTGCGGATACCGGCAAAGGGAGTGCCCCAAGCGGGACGAACGTGTTATCGGCGAGGATTAAAAATGATAAGCTGAGGGGAAAAGACATCTGCTGGGCTGTGTTTTCCAGAGAAAAACACGTGTTTTCCACGTGCCGGCCCATGGCTGTGGGGCCATGGCCCTTGTGCTGTAACACAGGGCCTCGCTCGCATGTGTGACGGGATCTTGGCCACCAAATATTTGGAGCGGAGCCCTGTTAATCCTCACGCCTCCATGTGATCACACCGGCAGGCCTGAGCAGAGGTCATGGCTTTTCTTGGAAAGAGAAGCACCGTATAACCAACCTGCTAACCAACCTGCTTAGAAACTGCATGAAAAACCCCTGCTTTGTTTACTCGCAGCACATTGGTTTGATGATAAATAGAAATAAAAACACTCAATCCTGCAACATCTTTATTAGTTGAGAATCAAATATTACCCCTGCATGCAAGGCAGGATATAATTCCGAATCTTTGCTCAGCAGTGTGGACACGCAGTGAGTTATGAACAGCCTGCCTCATTTTGCACTCTGGTCCACGGCAATTACCAAGTAACAGAGACACAAAAAAGAAACAGAGCTGCAGATTTATGCTACCCCACAACCGCAATACCCTTTAAAGCATTTATGCTTATTGGATTTGTCACATAACAGACATTTGTCACAGTCACAAATCTAAAAATGTTTATAAACGGATAGACTGCCCTGAAAGCCTTTGTTTGGACAAGCAGTATTTGAGGAGCAGTTACCACACTCCAGGGCTACACTCACTGAGAACAGGGGTCTCATCTTGTCACTCCTTTGCTGAAAACGCTGAGCCGGGTTGTATTTTTTCCTCCCCATATTTTGTTGCCAGTTTGCAACATAAACTGAAAATTGCCTTTCTTAATCATGTGGAACAAGTAATAATGAAAAAATAATTAGGTATGTGGAGGGAGAAAAGGGGGAAAAGGGAAAAAGAAAAGCAGCAATCAGCTCTGTCCTCAGAGCAGCAAAGTTATTTTTACAGACCGAAATGAATGAGGTTACTCTGCAGCTGGGACAAATCATCTCCTAGAAAGCTGTCACAATATTGCATGGATATGCTTTTGTGTTCAGCACTGCTATTATTGCAATAACATCACAGCCACAAGAGTTAAAAAAGCTGTTTCCTACTCCTCTTTTAATGGGTAATTTTGATATGTGATTTCACTTGCTTTAGAGCCTAGACTCTAAAGATTGGGGCTATCCCAGACTATCTAACTACCAGACTGGATTTATTTGCGGCCAAATTATACCCATGTGGTCCTGGGACAACACAGTTCTGTCTCACAGTTAGCTCTTTCACCACTTGCTGGTTTTCCTCTCCTTTCCCCTGGCCCCTGTTTACAGGCACATCGCTTCTCCAAAACTCTCCTGCTAGGCTAAACAGCAAAGACAACTTCCCCATCCCCACATAAATGCTGCACTTAGCACTTCCCAAATAACAATGATCTAAACAGCACCTGATTTAACCAACGCAAAAAAAAAAATCTCAGCAAATGTTCCTTTTTTCTTATGGATATATTTTTTCAAAATCTCATGAGTGCTAGTTCTAATGTTGCTTTTCTCTCAAGAATTCTCTATTCAAGTTGGGTGCTGCAAACATATTCCCATTCTCATTGGCTAATTGTCTTATACATCCTGCAGGAGTGCTTTTGTTATTACAAAGCCTATTTTCTGTTTTCTTCTTAATCCTCGATGCTATATCAAATATAGCAAATATAAGTTCATGAATCTACTCTACTATTCACTTATGGATGAGGTCCATTTGCCATTTTATACACAGGATTTTTTTTCTTTTTTGGTCATTTCAGGCTTTGATGCCTTTTTGAATTGTTTGCATAGCACCTAGTACAGTATGATCTGTGTCTTATTATTAGTACCATGACAAAGCTATGTCGTTCTTTACCTAGAAATAGGATCTTTGCAGTGAGAATAATCATCACTCATACTCAACGTCAACTGCCTACTGCTCTGAAACAAGGAGCAGACGAATTCCTCTGCCTTCCCATCCTGCAGTGACTATCACGCTGTCTAAAATGTTACCGCTGCTACAGCAGATGAAGTGTCTTGAAAATAAGTGTATTTTCATACTTGTTATTCATGTAACAGACCATTACAGCCTCTTCTGAGGTGTGCTCAGGCACCATGTGCAGGCTGTATGTAAATTGCATCATCACAGACTAGCTAATTCAACCAGCCTCCATGGATGTATCTCTATACACTTACAAAGCAGCTATAGGAGACACGGTTATCACTGTCTCTTATTAACCAATAACCTGCCAACTGTTTATAATTTGGATAAAGCTTAACCTTGTGGGCTGGAGGTTTCCCTGTTTGGTGCCTAATGTAAAACTGGGGTTGAGCAAAAGAGTGGAATTTCAGTGAGAACAACTCAGGTGCTTTTGAGATTACACTGGAGTGATACTGTGTTAATGATTTTTAGCAACTCGCCATCCCCACAATACTTTTCCCAAGGTTAACTAAAAATTTGAGCCCAATGACAAAAGAAAATGTCAGAGAGCCATTTTAACAGGCACTGTTACTGGTTCTGACCACCAGATGTTTTCAGGTTGCTGCTTAAATCTGCGGCAACTGAAACTTTGGCTCTGGCCAGGAGACTCTGAGCTGCCACAGGTTGTAAAATATGATAAATGCAGTAAATATGGCATGCAAATATCGTAGTGTTCACAGCACAGATGGATTTTGCCTAATCTCTAAACCACACGAGTTGTCACTACCACCCTAGTAAAGAGCTAAGATCACTTGCATGGCCAGTGTTTCAATGCACCCAATCTCCAAGACAAGACATCAAACTGATTGCTGAACAACATGAGAAGATCCCGTGGAAGATTAAAAGCAACAAAGAAAACCCTAGAGAGCTTTTCCTAAAGAGATTAATGACATCTTTAACATGAAGGAAGTCGTACTGGAGCTCATTCAAGTACTTGCAATACTTGTGCTTTTCCCAACCAGCACTTGGTTATTTCAGGTTTTATTGTCGGGTGCAACGTCATGCACGTAGGACACGATTTCCACAGCCCAGGAACATGTGGAAGGTGCCGGCAACGGCACTGCACGCAGCTGCTCTCAATGCAGGAGGGCACGGGCTGCGCGGGGCCCTTCTCCCTCCGCGCTCCCACTGCACCTTGTTTCCACGGCCCAGGGACCGGGCGCCCGGCGCTCGACCACCCACTGCTTGTCTGAACTAGCGGCTCCGAGCAGCCGGCATCCATGGAGCTGTGTGGGGAGAGCAGCTCCTGGGGGACCCTCTGCTACGTGGGGCCTTTTCAGGATGCTGCTGATATGGAGGGATGACTCCCGCCTTCCATACGCAGCAAAAGACCTATGTAAATCCCACATAGGATTTGTCCAACTCATTTGGCAGCAGTGTGCCCTGGTGGCGAAGAAGGCCAACGGGATCCTGGGGTGCATTAAGAAGAGCGTCTCCAGCAGGTCGAGGGAGGTGACCGTCCCCCTCTACACAGCCCTGGTGATCGTCCCCCTCTACACAGCCCTGGTGAGGCCACATCTGGAGCACTGTGTCCAGTTCTGCGCTCCCCAGGACAAGAGGGATGTGGAGCTGCTGGAGAGAGTCCAGCGCAGGGCTACCAGGATGATCAGGGGCCTGGAACATCTGCCCTGTGAGGAAAGGCTGAGGGAGCTGGGCCTGTTCAGCCTGGAGAAGAGGAGGCTGAGGGGGGACCTGATCAGCGTGTATAAATACCTCAAGGGAGGCAGTGAGGAGGAGGGGGCGGCCTCTTTTCAGTGGTGGCCAGCAACAGGACTAGAAGAAATGGCCACAAGCTGAGGCACCAAAAGTTCCACAGGAACTTAAGGAAACATTTCTTGCCAGTGAGGGTGACAGAGCCCTGGCACAGGCTGCCCAGAGAGGTTGTGGAGTCTCCTTACAAGACTCCTCCTCTAAGACAGTCTTAAGTCCTGTGCAGACACCAAATATGAGGCCCTTCCTGCTTTGGGATACCACTCCAAACATGCTTCCCCTCACGTCAGGCCTTTGTACCATGAAAAACACTTCTCTTCTGGTATTTCCAGAATCAGGATGGTCCTGAGGGGGGTTCTGAGGCAGCAAGGAAGGGCTCTCTCCCTCTCATCAAACCATTTCTATCTGGCAGCTCTCGGACACAAAACCAGCGTGTGTGGCAGGGGGTCAGGAGTTCTTCCACGCTGTCGGAGTTCTGGCACTACCTGAAGGTACCAACAGTGACCAGGCACTGCCCAACCACAGGACCATGCAAGTGCTGGCCGGAAGGGTTTTCAGATGTCAAAAGGAAGCGTAAGCAAAGTTTATTTTCCCTCTTGCAGCTCTCAAACAGCTGTGCCCCACTCCAGCTTGCTGTGCCCACAAAGCAACGGGCTCTAGGACCCACCAGCAAGAAAATGGCAAGAGAGAGAAAATGAGCAGAGGTTTAGGCAGGTACACAAAACACAGGGGGAAAGCGCAGTGATGATCCCTGCACAGGCAGGAAGGCCACCCGCATGTGTGTGTGTCCCCCCTTCCGAGCAGCTCTGCTGGCCACGGGCGATGCAAAACTCAGACCCCTTTAGGAGCTGCAGCACAATGTATCACACGGTGCATTGAAAGCTGCAGACTACACAAATATGGCCTGGTATTCCCAGATGAGTAAAAGAGGTATACCCTGCTAAAGACTAGCCCACTCTTTTTTAGAATACTTAAGCAAGTTTTCCAGAAAAAAAAAATCTATTGGCATTAGAAAAACTATACTGTCATTAAAATTTGTACACTGCTTAAATGGGCTAGTATCATGCTTTCAGTGCAGTAACTAACTGCAATGTGCTATAACATCATTTTTAGAGTTAATGTGCACACTCTCCCCCCTCCCAATTAC